AGAAAAGAATCCAGGGAGGTCCATAATCTTCAAGGCCCACAATCAGCTGAGTCTGAGGCCAGAAATAGAGCTCTGACCGATGGCACAGAGGAATTGTTTCAGTCCTGGTCTGAAACCAGACACTGTCTATTCACATTGTCCACTGTGGAGACATGAGCTTTGACTGTCTGTAGGTTTTTATTAAATGATTTAAAGTGGCACATTCACCATTTGTAATAATAATAATAATAATAATAATAATAATAATAATAATAATAATAATAATAATAATAATAATAATAATAATAATAATAATAATAATAATAATAATAATAATAATAATAATAATAATAATAATAATAATAATAATAATAATAATAATAATAATAATAATAATAATGTTTAAAAGTTGTAAGTTTTATTTTAAGAATTGTTATTAACCCCAAACTCTCCTGTGAACGTCAGACAGCAATCCTGCTTCAACCTGAGGCCAACAGCGTCATCTTGAGGCTATAGTGAGACATTGCTGAATAATAGGACTGGTAAATTTAGGAACCTTTAAATAACTTAATCCAACATTGTATTTGTATTAGAAATAAATAATAATGATATTAATTTTAACGGTTTTAGCCATGACCGTAACATTTTTCATAATCATTTGAGTAGCGAAATAGGTAGTTTATATATTCGAAGCATACAATTCTGTACAGTCAGTGGGAAATTTAAAATGTTTTTTTTTGTTGCGGTATGAACCGGATGTTCATAAGTCTACGTACATCCGTTTTCTTATCTCGGACTTTCCATGCAAAAATAAATGAATGAAACCATATAACCGTGCTACAGTGGGACACATGCTGTTTTTAACTTAGTGCTCTTTTAGTGGTGTAAATAATCAAACAAAAAGACTGTTGAAATGTCAAGAAGTGAATTAAAGTTTGGGTTTTGTGTTTTACTATAGCTTAATACCATATTATACGGAGCCCCTAAAGGAACAAAATAAACATTTCTGGTGCTAACCTGTAAGTGTCAATTGCAACTGAATTCTGGTTAATGTATGGTGTTGGCACTCATTGTTGCTGTTGTCTAAAATTAAGATTCCATTGTAATAAGATAAATAATCCATCCATCCATCCATTTTCATCCGCTTATCCGTTACCGGGTCGCGGGGGCAGCAGTCGCCACCCAAATCACATTGCACCGTACCAAGCCCCCTAAATCTTCCTGCGGGTGGCGAGTCCACTGGAAGGTACCAACTGCCCTAACCAGGATTCGAACTTGCCCAGGAGGTGAACCCTGGGGTTCCACACCAATGACAGAGACATTGCCTCTGGGCCAAAGCGCCACAAGATAAATAATATGGATCTAAATTAATGAATAATCATTTTTAGCTGAAATGCTAATTTATGTTGCTATAACAACTGTGGATGAAATGTATTCATATGTTCATAGTTTATAGAAGTATGCAACATATATAATCATGTTTTATAATAGAATAAATAATCATAAGAGATGTGCTAAAACATATAACCAGCTTGAACATAAAATGCTGCTTAAAGCTAAAACTGAAAATATGCAGCTGTAAGAAAAGGAGCTGCAAGGTTGAGGTACACCAAGGTTTGTTGTTACAAGAGGAGTACTTGGTGAGATGGGGAACAGAAACTAGTAGATCACAATTTGACAACGGCTAGGTTCATGGTTAGAGCATAGGGTCACAACAACAGCACCTAGGTGCGATAAGAACAGGATGAGAAACCAAGGGAGTAGATGTTGTTGTCAAAATGTATGTGTGTGCGTAGAACAAATGAAGTCTGTACCACTTGACATGTACCACCTGGATGTTTGAGAGAATAAAAGAGCCTGAGTTTGGGGAGAGAGCAGGATTCAGCAGTCAACCCCCTGACTCTCCGCTGGACCCTCGAGCAACGATCTTTGTCTTTTCTTTGTACTTTGTGAAAGTTCTAGATCAACGAACCTGGGGTGGTAAAACCTTACCACGACACAACCTAATTTCCCTTCGGGCATGATTAAAGGCATCTATCTATTTATCTATATATTTAGCATCAAGTGTGCGCGTGTAGCATTGAATTGAACAAACATCTGCTTTTTTGTTCAGTTCAACAAATGACAAAGTAAACTGTTATTTTTCAGATATTTATTTAAACAAACCAGTACAAAAAAACAAAAAAACATTTCCACTGCAGACACAGATATATTACCATACATCTTATTTACAAATGAACTCTGTTAAGACATTTAATGTAAACTCACATAAATATCATGCAATTCAAACATTTCTTCAAGAAATGAACTATCCTGAGGTATAAACACACAAATACAGTTTGCACAGGTTTCTTTATTTTTTTATTTTTTTATTTTTGTTGTTGTTTTTTAATATTTTACCACTCAGCAGCGAGGGTACGAGAGTCTGAGGTGTTTGTTTAAGAGAGCATGGCCGGGGGACATAAAGGGGTTATGTGAGTCTGCACGAGAGTCGGAACCAAACATTGACTGGTGCCAGACATGAGATGTCCGTACAGTAGGGGGTTCTGCTGTGGGCTTGGGTTCTGCCGGGTGCAAGTGGAAGGTTTGCCGATGATGCTGTCGATGCTAAAGGAGCATTTAACCTGCGGGCCTGGCTTTGGCACTACGGGCTCTGATGCGCAAAGCTGTGCTCTTAAGTCTTTGGGAGCAGCGGCGCACTTCCCCTGGCTGTTCAGAGTCCGTAGCAGAAGGCGGTAGTTGGAGGGAGGCATCATGATGCCACCCTGCAAGGACACATACCGGAGAGGTGCAGTGAGTGGAGGGCTAACCTGCCCTTGTCTGCTGAAGGGCTGCCCGTATGATCGGTGCAAGTTCATACCGGAATAAAACACAAGTTCGTCCCTGCCGAATTCACTCTGGTTCCTCTTGAAACGCTTCCTTCTCCGCAGGAAGCTTCCGTTGTCAAACATGTCTTCTGAAGCTGGATCCAGAGACCAGTAGTTACCCTTACCCAGGTTCCCGGGCTCCCTGGGGATCTTGATGAAGCAGTCGTTGAGAGACAGGTTGTGTCTGATGGAGTTCTGCCAGGCGGGGAACTTGTCCCGGTAGTAGGGGAACTTGTTGCTGATAAAGTCGCAGATGCCACTCAGGGTGAGCTTCTTCATGGGGCTCTGCAGGATGGCCATGGTGATGAGGGCAATGTAGGAGTAAGGAGGCTTCACTGAGCCGTTCTGGACTTTCCTGGACGGCTGTGCGTCTGCGCAGAACCTGCTCTCACTCTCCCCTGACGAGTCTGGCTCTGAGGAGTCAAATTCGGCGCCTGATTCTACCGAGGAAACGGCGTCTGTGGAACAGCTGATTCCATAAAATCGTCCGTGTGTTGGGTGATCCTTGCCCACGATGTCAATCTCATCCTTCTCCAGTGGCAAGCCGGTATGATGCAAAGCTTCACATTCAATAGGAAGAGTCATGGTACACAATTCAAATGTTAAAATATGCGGAATCACAACGGTGCCAAACTGGCACTGGAGAGTTGTCGTGCGTATATATATAGGCCAATGACACTAAGTCGTGCGTAAAGGCGCATTTGCTATTCCCAGGTTCCTGTGCGCCAGCTGTGTGCTGTGTATTCCGGGAGTCCGGGCTTTATATGTTTGGAAGCCGGTGCTCGGTGGGCCAGTCCCTAAACTTGTGAACCTATCAGCGCAGCTGCTCTCAGCGGGGGAGCAGGAAAACACAATGTAAGTGGGAGGGAGCCGGAGCGCAAAGGGTCCATTCAAACAGAGGAGGCAAAATCTCAAACCAGAACAAGTTGTAGTGTATTGACAAAGAGTTATATTTATATATTAATAGACTTTCTGTGTACATTTCAGGATCCTTTTGTGGTTCTTTGAAATTATTCATTTGATATTACAAATACAGGCAAAACACCGTCGGAGGTCGAATGGTTTTAACACCACGCCTAACCCTTGATAAGAAACCAGGTGTTTCCTACTCAGAACACCCCGCTGCTTCGTTTAGTTTGCCACCTCTGGATGCCCGTGGGTGATGTGACCATGAAAATGGCCGTGGCAGGGAGTCCCGCAGCCAGCAAAGAATAGAGGCCATAGTCATCTTAACGAGACCATCAGCATCAGAATTGAAGAGGAAACGGCTTAGCTGCTCTCTGAGTTCAGACCCACAGGGATCAGCTCCGCTGTATGAGCGGCATGAATGAGCCAAAGCCTCAAAGCAAAACCGGTTCAGCTGAGGATACGTGTTAAAACCATCCCCCTAAAACCATCTCTATTGCAAATGAGTGGAGAAAACTCCACCTATTTCCTCACCTGACCGGGCCTACTGTGTGCTAGTGTGTGACCTGGCGTTCTCACATGACTATACAATGGATCTCATTTGTTACTGAGTTTGCCAAAGCTGCTCTGGGACTGATGACGGCCTCACACACAGACGAGACAAAAATCAAACTTTAATGTAAAGTGAAACCTAAACACTGATGTTGAATGAATAACCTACAGCAGGAAGAACTGGCACCAGGACTCTTTGACTAATAGCAACCTATTCTTACAGTACGTTTAGCCAACAAATCATACATTTGAAAAGTTTTAAGTTTGTTTTGATTCCAGTTACTTAAATCACTCAATTTAGATTATTTACAAGTTGATGGAACTCAACTTGGAACCAAATGCTTGGTAGGCAGGAATTCTACCACTGCCACAGGCATCTTTAATAGTCAACAAGTGACCATTTTATTTACTGAAAACCTTCTGAAACCTAAAAAGCCCATGATTTTCAACAAATAAAAACTAAAATAAAAGTCACTCAAATATAATTAATACTTTACCAGAAATGGTTGAAGGGAATATGCTGGAGAGCAATATTCAGATTTGACCAAATCACTGTATTTGGAATTAATATATAATAATAATAATAATAATAATATATAATTCAAGCATAAGGGTGTCCATCAGTGCACTTGGCACCAGGACCCCCTAGGCCGGAGGTCAATGATTGACTTTGTAGTTGTGTCATCTGACATCCGGCCGTA